CTTGATATTAAGCCATATTATACAACTAGACATGAACTCAGCACACAGACCCATTCAGTGTGTCATCTAAAATTCTGTGAAATACTGCAGAGTCATGATGACAAAGTTTGAGCTGTCAGAAACCTACTGCTAAAGGACTAAATGAAAAAGAAAAGCTGCCGTTTAGCAGAATTAAAGGCCTGTTGGCTTTATCGGTTTGTAAACCAGGTCAGAGACCCAACAAGCCAAACATAGACGTGTGCGGCATTTAGAACCAACAAACATCAAATGACGCAAGAAGCCAAACTGCACGCACACGCACAGAGGCACAAACCCACGTCCTTCTTACTCATCTCTGACGGAGTCAAACACCACGTTTGCATTGGCAAACAGCTGACCAACACAGCACAGACCTCTCAACATGAGCCAACAATCAGAAATCATTGTTGCATGGAACTGGCAAATCTTCAGTGTATGTCTGATCAAATTCCTGTGCAGAACATGGAAGTAAACACAGATGTTGCTGGACAGTGCACGTAGTTTGTATCTATTCAGCAGAAAACATGACTAAGCCAAGAGTTACTCAAAAAAAACAAAAAAAAAAACACACCACACACAAACACCACACAACTTCTAACTCCCTTAAATCCCACCAGATGTCAGTTCAGATACTATGGCCTTGACCTTTAATGTAAGAGTAGATGAAGTGACTTGCAACGACAGGTCATCTAGAGGACATGGAGCAAGGCTGGCAAAGAGTTGCCGGCCCTCTCATGTTGCTCACATCCTCCAGTGACCTCACCAAACCCACCATGCATGTTCACATACTTGTGCACCCCTTCATTTCTCTCAGCGACTGTCACTTCAGCTGTACTACATTTGATCTGTTACAGTAAAGATTACACACAGCTTTGTGTTACTGATCTCAAGTCTGCTCAGAGTACACAGCCACACACACAAAAAACCAAAACCAAACCAAACGTGTGCCAAAGGCATTACCTACAGTCACAAACTGAACTTGGGTTGTGCTCAGCACTGGGTCCAGACCTCAGTCAAAGCATGGCCCTCCTGAGTGTGATACTACAGGATTAGCATTACTGGATACCTGCCGCCATTCCACTTTTAATCCCGACAGGGAGCACTCAGGCTCATACTGCAACTTGACAGTGCAAGTACCGATGTTTAGAACTAATATAGCAACTTGATAGAAAAAAATAAGCTGAAGCTATTTTGATAACTTATGTCTAACACGGCTGAAACCACTACACACTGCCAGCTTCTGAAATGGCTGATTTTGATGCTTTTTTTGTCATGGACAATAGCAAAGTGAACATCTAAAAATAAAAGTTGACTAAAGAACTACCTACCTGGAAGTAGGCCAGTTGATTTTAACTGGATGACCTTATACAAACAGCTCAACTGCATAACACTACCAAAAAGGGAACCATCCAAAACAAGTGAATGCAGCTACATGGCAACTACACAAGTTCTGCTAGAAGCCTCACAGCAGACTTAAAATGCCCAGGTGTGACAGGGAAACGGCTGTAGGTGGTGAGGATTTGTGGCTACGTAATGACACGTGGCCAGTTGAGGACATGGGAGTGTGACTGAAAGCCTGGTCTGACTGGAAAGACAAGTGCTGGAGTTTTAACAGGAGGAACATTTGTGTCTGAGTCATGGTGTGGATACCTGGGTTGGAGCTGATTTTGCAGCTCTACCAGAGGTTGTCTAGTGTTGTTTGCAACCCTAGCTCTGTTTATCATGGTTAATGTTACTGAACACAGCAGAGATTTCAATAGGTACTTGTTCCGAGTTTAGTGCCCTTGCTGAGAAATAACTTGCTTTGTGCCTCTTATCTTGCCAATGTCAACAGTACCTCTGAAGCAAACTGAGGCTATGGTTAGCTGATGGCTTGGTTTTTACACATAATGCAACAGGCAAGACTGTACTACAGTCTTTGTTACATCACAGCCAAAGCAACCAAAGCAAAAAAAGTAGTTTTTTTTTTTTTTTTTTTTTTTTAAACACCTGTATCAACATTGCATGCCAAGAAAACTTGATATGGTTGTATGTACAGCAAAAATTAGTTATTTGTCCATCTGACCAATATGTATCCTTGTCTAGGAGATGTCTAGACTTGGATGAACTTTGTCCCCAAGGTCTGAGCAGCCCTCTCAATTTCACATGGGAAAGGGATAGAGGTAAAAAGAAGACCACAAGCAGACACATCTGACCAAGTTACTTAATGAATCTGATTTCAGCAGCATTCATGGGACATCATGTACTTAACACAAACAAAATGTTAAACACTTTAATGGACTGCGAGGGCCCAACTGTTGAACCACTATGATTGCTTCAGGGAAAAATATTCAACATTTAAAAAGATATTTTAGCAACTAAAACAGTTTTAGCTATAACATGACAGACAAATGTGACCACCTACAGCAGTGAGTAGGGCTGGACCCAAATATTCAACCATTTGTTCACTGGGCAGGTAACCAGTTTTAAATTTTAGTACCTGAATATTTGAGACCGTAGGAAGTTTCATTGCAGACAGAGTCTGATGAAGAGTAAAGAACAAAAGGAGATGGCCTTGTCTGCTAGCTGATACCAGGGATGACGACAGGTATCACGATGGGGAGCCAGCATTGTGATTTGATTGATTCCACAGATGCAGCAGGTCACAAGTTACTTCAGGTCCATTCATCTTGTCTCACTTTTATTACTTTTTTTGCCAAAAAAAAAAAAAAGTAAAACATTTCATAGTTAATTTGGTTCATCCATGTCCTGAAAAACAGGTCAGAGGACTATTTCATTACGTTTGAAATCAACACTGCACAGAAGCAAGGAGTTTATTCCATGAGCTAAAAATACTTTGAGAACGTTTTAGCACATGAAATGTATTGTTCTGGTACCAGAACAGTCTGTCAACTGCACCTGGGCCATGCAAAAACAGGACAGTTTGAAGTGTGATAACAGGTGCAAGACTAGGAAACATTACTGTGCAGTTTGACTCAGGTGAAACGTACAGTTAGTGGGGGGCAGTATGTAGCTTGGGGCCCCACTGCCAGTAGGAAATGCAGCAATGATTTTGTTGCCACCTCCCCTGAGGGCTGGCATCTCTGTGTTGGCGCACAGTTAGGTCTGTGGCAGAGTACCAGTAAGGCAGGACAACTAAACCCCATTCCATCTACATTAAGAAACAATCCCTCAGAGTGGAAATGGACTGAAATACCTTTAACAGCCCAGTAGCTTTAACAGTTGAAGTGGCACAAAACAGAACAGCTAGAAATGTAGCCAAGTTTATAAAGTGTAATTTATACCATTTCCGGCATAACTGAGCTAAACCGACTCCAGGATAAATCCTGTCACAGCTATGATCAAGGATGTATTGTCCGTCTGGGTTGCTTGATTTCCCAAATTATCCCAGTAGTGCACAGAACAGGATACTGAAGCCACTCATCACAAACTTATCTTCACTGACAAGACAAGGAAAAGCACTTTTCTTGACCTCAATGGATTAGTCATTTTACTGTATCATAATACAAGTTTCTTTATTCTTAAAATCACAGAACAGATTGTGTACATCCTATTCAGCTCAATAACTCAAAACCTTTCACTAGGCATTAAAAGTTATTCTCTACAGCCTAGTGACTGTTAATACAATCTAATGTGCTACAGGTAAGTATTCAGGCCATCATATCTTCAGGGCCCTAGAATAGGCACCACCATTTTCCAAAACTAACCTACCGTTAAAACACAATGCATCCCTGAACCATATCAACAATCAAACAAAGAGCAGATATGGGACTTGACACAGTTGCTCAGGTTAAACAGCAACTGGCAAACATCTGAGAGCCAGGTCCAATCAAATTGTCCAACCTCCACTGTTCTATCAAGATTCAGTCATATGGAAAACAGCACTAACAATGCCACTGAGCCCATTACCAATATTTGCACCCAGTTCTCACATAGTCCTGAGTCAACTCCATGTGTGTGCGCGCGTCTGTGTCTGGCTTAAACACGCACATGGTCACGAAGAAACCCACTGAAGCACACCAAGGCGCACCGCTTTAACACATGGCTTTTGAATTACTCATGGAAAACATTTAACAAAAATTAGACATTAGCCAAACTAAAAATTCATAGTATAAATAAAAATAACCCCCAAAGGTGAATCATCTTCAACAATGTGGATTGTCAAACACCCAGAAGATCACCAACAGCTTTAAAATATATAAAAATCATTATTATTAAGCCAAGCTAAAATGACCGAGTACCGTTTCTGAAAACCAGTGGCCATAAAGCTGGAATGTTATATTATCCAGGAGAGTCCAGTGATTCTGTGCCCACACTGAGGACATCATTAAACTGAAATGGGAAAGCCAGCAGCCTCCATCACAACCACTCAGACTACAAATGTCCAGCCATTAGTCCTCCAGAGAAGTCAAGAGATCAGCACAACGTGTCCTGTTTCTTCATTGAGCCCCGACCTCAAAGTCAGTGAGTCATCCAGCTCTGTATTTCATGGATATCCCATTAGGCCATTGCCACACCAAAAAGATACACAGGCCTATACCACCTCAAGATCACATACTTTCTTCAGAGTCCTCTTATTATTATTCTTATTTTTTGGCTCGGTGCCGACCCCCACAGGGTGACCCGGCGCGACAGAGTCAAACGGGACACCGCCCCACCGACTTCACATGTGAATATAAAAATAGCGCCAGGCAGCATCACACCACGGTTACGTAGGTTTAAACAACCCTACAAAGTCGTTCATTTAATCAAGTCAACGCGCCCTGTGATGGTGAAATGAAACAATGGCAGACAGGCTATGCTCGGTCACACGTGGAGCCAAAGGAGGAGCGGAACTAGCTCATTTACAACTTAACATTAGCTAGTGAGTCACTGAACCGCAGGCTGAGATGTGAACAGAAAAAGGGAAGCCGTTTTGCTCAACAGCCTCTTTGTCTCCACATACAGCACCAGGGCTGTTAACCTAACCTTGGTCCACTCACCGCGGTTTTTCGCCGGATCGGCTTTGTCCAGTGGAGGCTTGGTTTGGCGTGTGCGGATGTCTCCCGGGTTGTCCTTAAACTGCTACTAGACGGTCCAGACGCAGCTCTCCGGGTACCACAGACTACTACTACTGATAACCAGTCAATGCAGATAACTGCCATGCATGTTCACATACTTGTGCACCCCCTCATTTTTCTGATAACCAACTGATAACCACTCAATGCAGATAAGATAACTGTGGGACGCTGGCGATGACGTTACAGCAGCCGCGCATGCGTACGAGACGCCTCCTACTCAGGGTGGCAGCGCAAGAATCTGAGAAAACGCACGTGCACGGAAAGTCCAGGAGGCATGAGCTGTTCCCAATTATGACGTTTTAAAGTTATAAATACGTCTTAGTATTTCATCATTTTGAAATAGGCTTTTATAATAAACATCCTCGTACTTATAAATTCATTAAAATTCTGAAAGTTGGAGATACAACATAGAAAACCAAGCAAGTATGCTGAAATAAAAGTATAAAAACACTACATGTTACCCAGATTTCATCTTGTATAAGCCATTCTAAAGTCTGGGAGGCTGCCAGCATTACAGCTTCACCTGGGGCAAGGAACAGAGAAGCATTAAGAGAGAGGGGGAAGACAGTCCAACACTGTCTAAATAAACTGTAAACCACAGTGACTCCACATAACCTCTGGCGCATACTTTCTTTAGAACATTTGGAAGCTTCAGGATTGGTTTATTTGCATCATACTATGGTATAAAGATTCAGTTTATTGCAACCAAACCCACTTGCAAGGTCAACAGTCAGAAACACTGTGTTGAAATCTTCCTTTGCAACCAAACCCACTTGCAAGGTCAAGAGTCAGAAATACTGTGTTGAAATACACAGAAAAACTGATCCACGCAATGTGCGCATGCCCCAGCACACCTTGATGCCAACATCAAGTTTTAACTGCATACAAGTAACTTGATATTAAGCCATATTATACAACTAGACATGAACTCAGCACACAGACCCATTCAGTGTGTCATCTAAAATTCTGTGAAATACTGCAGAGTCATGATGACAAAGTTTGAGCTGTCAGAAACCTAGTGCTAAAGGACTAAATGCAAAAGAAAAGCTGCCGTTTAGCAGAATTACAGGCCTGTTTGCTTTATCAGTTTGTAAACCAGGTCAGAGACCCAACAAGCCAAACAGACATGTGCAGCATTTAGAACCAACAAACATCAAATGACGCAAGAAGCCAAACTGTGCGCACACACGCAGGCACAAACCCACATCCTTCTTACTCATCTCTGACGGAGTCAAACACCACATTTTTGCATTGGCAAACAGCTGACCAACACAGCACAGACCTCAACATGAGCCAACAATCAGAAATCATTGTTGCATGGAACTGGCAAATCTTCAGTGTATGTCTGATCAAATTCCTGTGCAGAACATGGAAGTCAACACAGATGTCACTGGACAGTGCACGTAGTTTGTATCTATTCAGCAGAAAACATGACTAAGCCAGGAGTTTTACTCAAAAAAAAAAAAAAAAACTTCTAACTCCCTTAAATCCCACCAGATGTCAGTTCAGATACTATGGCCTTGACATTTAATGTAAGAGTAGATGAAGTGACTTGCAACGACAGGTCATCTAGAGGACATGGAGCAAGACTGGCAGAGTTGCTGGCCCTCTCATGTTGCTCACATCCTCCAGTGACCTCACCAAACCCACCATGCATGTTCACATACTTGTGCACCCCCTCATTTTTCTGATAACCAACTGATAACCACTCAATGCAGATAAGATAACTGTGGGACGCTGGCGATGACGTTACAGCAGCCGCGCATGCGTACGAGACGCCTCCTACTCAGGGTGGCAGCGCAAGAATCTGAGAAAACGCACGTGCACGGAAAGTCCAGGAGGCATGAGCTGTTCCCAATTATGACGTTTTAAAGTTATAAATACGTCTTAGTATTTCATCATTTTGAAATAGGCTTTTATAATAAACATCCTCGTACTTATAAATTCATTAAAATTCTGAAAGTTGGAGATACAACATAGAAAACCAAGCAAGTATGCTGAAATAAAAGTATAAAAACACTACATGTTACCCAGATTTCATCTTGTATAAGCCATTCTAAAGTCTGGGAGGCTGCCAGCATTACAGCTTCACCTGGGGCAAGGAACAGAGAAGCATTAAGAGAGAGGGGGAAGACAGTCCAACACTGTCTAAACTGTAAACCACAGTGACTCCACATAACCTCTGGCGCATACTTTCTTTAGAACATTTGGAAGCTTCAGGATTGGTTTATTTGCATCATACTAGGGTATAAAGCTTCAGTTTATTGCAACCAAACCCACTTGCAAGGTCAAGAGTCAGAAATACTGTGTTGAAATCTTCCTCCCTCTCTCCCTCCCTCCCTCTCTCTCTCCCTCCCCATTTGTGCAAGCTGGATGCTTCTTGCATAACTAGAGAAGATGTGAAATGAGATCTGTAAATATTATTTGCAATTGCATTACAGCTGTAGGAACATAAGTGACATCCTACACTCTGCTTCTTTCCCTTTTTATCACAAACATCTGCTACTGTTGTAATAGTGATACTAAATATTCATCACTCCTTATTGCTGTGGTGTATTAGAACAAACAAAATGCTCCACAGGTTTTCTTTACTAGGAGGCTATAGTTTAGTTTACACTTTGTACATGTACAATACAATTGCACTTAGCTATACCATTGATTGAAGTGTACAGCCAAACAATGACCTACGAAAGATTCCACAGTTATATGGCATTCCAACACTAAATAATAAAGTGGACTTAAATACCATTAACACCATTTACAATGAGATTAATATAATTAAATCTTAACTAAGCCACATGGTGTCATTTAGTCAGTCATGCAAGCTACACAAACAGTGTGATCATCTTGTATTCATAATAAAAGTACAAATACAAGGCTTACTTACATATTCAGTGCTGAACAAAACCTCATTCAACCAGCAATATATAGTTTATCCCAGCAGAGCCATTAGTTAAGTTGCAAACTAACAAACAAAGTAACATGAACCACTAAATTGGTTGGCACTCAGAAGGAGCTGATTGGCTCCTGGTGCCTTACATGTGGCTTGCATGTTGTCTAATGACTCTGAGAGCTGCTGATTGGCTCCTGGTACCCTGCATGAGGCCTGCATGCTGTCCAGTGAAACTGAGAACAGCTGTGTGACCTGCAAGTCTTAACAACTGTAATCACTGGAAGATTAAAACATCAGAGTGTCTTTGTACTGTATAGGTGTACTGTATACTTCAGCACTTACAGCTGATGGGGAACAAAAACAACATTTCCTCATGACGTTAAGTGACCACAAAGTGATGCAAAACAACAAGAAACTGACACTATGATCACAATAGTGATGCAAGAGTACAAAGTGACACAAAATAAAAACAACCACAGAGTGAAGCAAAACAACAAAGAGATGCAAATTGACCACAAACCGATGTACATTGACCAGGAAATGGTACACCACAGAGTGAAGCAAAACAACAAAGAGCTGCAAATTGACCACAAACTGATGTACCTTGACCAGGAAATGCTACCAAACAAATTCAAAACGTCCACAGGTGTCTCTTTCAGTCTGCTCCTATTGTTGGGGGCCACTTTACATGCCTGTGTCGGGACCCTTTGCGTGTTTTTTCAAGTCTGTATGCTATTAGAAGTTCTAAATATCAAGAATTTATCATTGCCAAGAACCAGGACTTTAAATTTGAGTAAACATATTTTTACTAATTTCCCAAATGTACCCTTCGCTGTACCCCAGTCTGCCCCCTCAACTCAAAAGTCTCTAAACCCAAAGCAGCTCATTGTCACAAGAATGTGAAAGATGTTATTCTATCAGTTGAACAGATGGTAATGTCATTGCTCCAAACATATAAGGATAATAATAATAATAATAATAATAAGGAAAGGTATACAAGTCAATCTCAAGCTTGAGCACTGTTCATTGAATTAACATTCATTTTCCAATAAAAAAAAAGAAGTTGCATGCTCTCGAGCTTATAACAGTGACTGTAATTGGACCTGGCCCCGTAGGACTTCTCATGCTCCAAGACTGCAAAGATGAACTCTTTGTTCTCAACTTGGGAAGAGATCAGAGTGTCTCCATACTGTATGTATAATATGCTTTTGTTTAATTACTCGAAATGTTCCCATGTTCTATCAAATCTTTCTGGTTGAAAGCATGTGAGGAGGCCTTTGGCTCAGCAACGTGACAGTTCCTAATTGGTTTCAGATAATGAGGCAGAGGAAGAAAGGGGCCAACAGTGGCAGAGGACAGACCGAAAATACTTGTGTCTGTGAGTTTTAATCACCCTTATATCTGACATTAGGACCAAACTGCTCATATATCCAGAATCAACTGACATTTCTCTGGGATTCACTCCACACAGCAGCCTGTTTCCCATAACTGTGTATCTGGCCTCCTACCCTACAGGCAGCATGGTCAGGAATGTTTGCTTAATGGGTGTCTACTGAAAGAGATACCACCGAACAGCCTTATAGAGTATAGAAAGATAAGTGTGGGGTTTAGTACATGTATGGAGACTGTTCTGTAGGAGATTATGGGTGTTGGGATGCGTACCGTGAGTGAAAACACTGTTTGTGTGTCTCTTTCAGCTTTCCTAAGCCAAGAGGATCTCAATCATTTTAGCATCCTGAGAACAGTGTCATGTTTTTATCATAGCCAACAAACTTTGAGACCCTTACAAAACTGCTGATGTGCAGAGCCCACCGTGTCACCGGCACAGATCCACTGACAGTATTCCAGTAATATGTACATACAGTTGTGTTTCTATCACTTCATAGGATATTACATTGGCTTACATTCATTTCATGAAGACCTGCAGTAAACCAAGTGTTCATATTAAAAGCTAATGATTTGTGTTATGGGGACTTGCTTTTTTGTCCCCAAATGGAGGCAGAGTCCCCATGTTACTGTGTAAACAAACAAGACAGACAGACAAAATAAGTAATACAAGCATGCAGACTCTTCTGCTCCTTTGCTAATTTGGAACTGGACAATAAGTATATCCCAGCTTATCACAGCAATAAAAATAGCTTCCCAGATTCACTGTGATAAGCCGCTGTAGTAT